ATCGTACAACATGAAACTTCGTTTGGAGGACTGTACTTGGGAAAAAACTGCGTTCTAGGTCAAAGTTAAAACTCAATGACAAGCTCCTTGATTATTTCAACAGAGCGTGAAGGCGAACTATTCTAAATCCACGTTACTTTTATGAGTGCAAAATGATTGATCGTAAGTCCAAATTTACTCGTAAGTCGAAGGTTAGCACTGGTTTTTAAGTTGCCGACTCGTCCATTTATTTAAGTAAAGTTCATATTGGTAAAAAATATGAGTTGCCGTGGTTTCATCGTAAATCGTGTAGGCGTCCCTATACTATAAAAAGGACTCTTTTGTAAAGGAGATAGACGACGACTGTTTTGTTATTTGCTCAGCACAAGAGGAGATGGACAAATGTTTTGAATTACTAAATCAACAGACACAGTGCATAAAACTCCACCCGAGATAAACCGAAGAAAGATTAACTTCCGTTGTAACACAAAGATATTGGTTGTTTACCTTTCCTTTTACTCTTAATACAAAGAGTGCTTTTGTGAGAAACGTGTCATCGACACTTACCAATTTGCGCACAAGAAGAGAGTCGGAAGAAAAATCCCTAAACTTTGCTTGACAAATTGCCGTTTCGAATAGATACGAAACGGTAGCACTTTGGAATAAATCTAGAGGAAAAGCCAAGCATGCGAGGAATATATTCAGCGAAAACAAACTTCTGTTCAGCTGCTCTTTGTTTTCAGCAATGTAAGCATAACCATAAAGCGATGTTTGAAAATGGGTTGCAGTGATTGGACCATCACCAAGCACTCTACTTCGTTATCCAGTTCATAGCTCTGTCTATGACCACCTACGTACAACGCGAAATTGCAACATTTGCCCTAAGTGTAAAAACGGTGATTGCTTCAGTTCTTGTACGTTGTACCTGACATAGTAACTATTTTCACAAATTACAACCACAACGATGATGAGATATTTGCAAAACTCCAAACCGCAGGTGTCTGCGATGGCGAACGAACGCGCTATTACCTTTTCATGGGGCTAACGTGTTCACCACCACACCATGCGGGTCCTTTGCTTCGCCTTCTATTTACCCTAATATTATTTTCACATGTTACTGCACATTTTCTCTGCTGATATCTTGACATTTTTTCTTGCTTTCACTTCTCTCATCTCTATCTTCCCAACTGCCGTAGTATATGTCTCCATCCAGTGGAATGTAGTAGGGCTTCGCGATATGGGTGTGAGATATGGTTATTGAATTTCTTTTCAGGTTATGAAAGTGTTCGATTAAGCATATTGGTTATCAATTCGATTTTAACAGACTCTGAAGAAGGCGAAATCGCTGCAATGTTAGCCAATTTAGAATAAACCTTATATTAACAACCTTGTTTCTCAATGTTATACCTTTTTATTTTCTGCCTACCATAATTTCGCGGCAGGGTACTAGGGGAAATACAACCACAACGTTGCTGAGATATTTGCAAAACTCTGGACCGCAGGTGTCTATGGTGGGGAACGAACGCGCTATTGTCCTTTCCGGGGAACGTTGTGGTTGTATTTCGCTTAGTACCCTACCGCGAAATTATAGTAGGCAGAAAATAAAAAGGTATAACATTGTGATTTCAACTACAGCCGCAGCTTAACTGGGTTCTATGCCGATTTGGGCGCCCCAGATCAATCCCGCTGACGGGTGATTGCTGTGGCAAAGATCGATACAAATAGCTGAGAGACAAGCGAAACAAAGGACTCGCATGGTGTTGTGGTGAACGCTCTACTCCCAGGAAAGGACAATAGCGCGTTCGTTTCCCACCATAGACACCTGTGGTCCAGAGTTTCGCAAATATCCCAGCAACCTTGTTTCTCTTCAGTAAGGAAGCGTTCGTTTACTAATTCCATACTCCGTTTACTTTCTCCCAAATTGTTCTCAAAGAAACTGAACATGCTAAATCTACTAGCAGCTACGAGGAATTACATCAATTTGCATAAAGACAACAAAGCTGGCGAAAGATTCGAGAGCCTACCAAACCTCTAAGCTCGAAATAAGTAAAAGCTATAAGTTATTCCTATGATGACGGCACTATTTCTGCCAGAAGTCTATTGAATTTGATTAATTGATGATGATTTGAGCAATACGCATCTTTTGTAATATCAAAATCCCACAGCGTAAAGGATATTATGATGACCGAGGAGAATGTACGGAAAACCAGAAGGAAACTGTTAAGTTATGACGGCCATGGCCAAATCAGACCGAGAAACGTCATTCGTATGTAACCACGCTCATGTTTAGGTCAGGTTTATTAACAAGTATTAGTAATTCTATAGGAATTTTTTCGTGCTTTTCGGCAGAGTTTCGCTGACTTGATGTTGACAGTGGACCACTATGTGGCATTAAACAGCCGCTGACCGCAGCCTGATAATGATAAGGTAGCAGCGAGGAAAAGTGGGCGGAGCATGATGGTGGCAAAGGTGGGTTGGAGCTCACGCAGAAGTTTGCAATTGAGCTTCGGTCTCTCTTACGCGTCTTGACTTCTGTTAAACGGCTATGAATATAGGTACGAAAAGTATACGTTTGAATAGTCTATTTGTCTAACGCTCACCTTTATTTGCTGTTTATTGACTTCTACCCAATTTCACTAACGAATAAATTTAAGTCGCTCAATAACAAGTAAATTTCTCCTTGCTAAATAAAAATTCTATCAAACATTTCTGTCATAAAAGACGATTCTGAAAAAAAGCTTTTCAAACCATTTCACTTCACAAAAATATAATCTAGCAGTTAAACAACTTAATTGATCCACATAACTAATAACAAGGTCGAATAGAGCACCGACTAGTCAGCTAAGTCGTTGCTGCGTATCTGCTAGGCTGCCGACGTTTGAAAATCTGTGAGAGAGTAGAGAGATTGAAATTGTAGTGTTAGGGTACTACAACAGTACTATAGGTTATAGTTATAGTAGCCAGATAGGCTGCCGACTTCAAGTTCAGAATGGAAGTGCTGGAGACTAGTTTCCTCTTCTGAATAAAATGCTACATGATGACAAAATGCTCTCTTTGCCTTTGCTTGCTTGCTTATTATTTGCCATGCAGGTCTTTCGATTGATAGTTTCACAGCGTGTACCTCATGCTTGGGTAATTAAATTTTTATCAGATTATAAATTGGTACAACGGTAGTAACATAGAGAAACTAACAAGCATTGCAAGTAGTAGGAAATAACTAAGGCATTCGTGATTAGGACGTAGAAGACATGACATAGAAGTTAATGGAGATCTCGGCACGCGAACTCTACAGTATATTCGAAAGCAAGAAGAAAATGGAAATTGCAAGGGTGCTTTTCGAGCGAACTAAAGAATGATTTATGACTCTGCTTATTACCAATTCTATGATGGGTGAGAATTTGCTAAAGAAAGTTGTAGTTACTGCTCAAGTGGAGATTCAGGAATGTTTCTCAATTAGTAGAAATTGATACGGCGGCATCAAGGCATGACACGGTAGATGCTGGAAAGCGCGTCAAATGAGATGAAATGCAGGGAGTATCGTTTGTATAAAAGATTTATGAGCGAGCTACAGCGTGTCACCGAGCTCAACACATAGGTAAGGTGTAGATTTCCAATTCATTAGATGGTACTAGAGAGCTCACACTAAGAAAGACAGTTAAGCATTAGAAGCGATAATTGTTTAGAGAAGAATTTGTGGATGTGATTAAGAGCTGATAGACACCAATAATAATGGATTACTGTACATGTGAAATTTTGAGCTCCGTACTTCTTGAATTAGCAAGATATAATTAAACAAGAAGTTTCACTTTTTTCGTCTTATTAACGGCGTTCACTGCTGTAACATCATAACATTACCAGTAGAACACCAGCAGAAATGTCTCTCGTTCTTGTGTTGTTTTCTAATCACCTTTGTATCAGTTTAACAGCACTATGCATATGTCTTCATTGAAAATGCAGCTTAATGTAAAAAAAATGATTGGGACCTTTGCTCCTATTTAAAGATGTACCATTTCATAAGCCTTCACTGCTTTCTGTAGCCGATGGCACGGATGGTAACGGTACATACCATTACCGTTGAAACAGTTTTCTAACCGAATCTGCGACGTTAATTTCATATATCGCTGAACTCCTGCAAGTTATAGTGCTGGCCAAATATCCATGCAGTCACGGCTACGATACTCAGTGTAGTTGAGTATCTTCTATGTTCACCCGTAGTGAGAAGGCGAATGCGAAGAAATAAACGGTGTGAAGATTTTTAGAAACCGCGATTGAAACAGATGAAGTGTTATGCTTTCATAGCACGAACTATTATTGCTGTTATCAGAGCACTGCTAGATAAGTTGTTATTGACATATACTAAGTCTGACCGATACCTTTATCGAGGAGATGAAACTTCACAGCGCCATCGTGTTTTCGTCACATTGTGTGAAGCTCTCAACTTGTTAAGATGAATATCTTCGTATTGAAACAAAAAATTTATGGTTTTCTTCCTATGTAAATAACACTCTCAATCTATCCATTAGGCATTTTCAACCCGTTTCTTGCGGTTGCACAGTACATTTAATTTTTTAAAAAACTTAGTGGTTTTTGAAATAGATATATACTGCCATAATGAACCTGAGACAATCGAAACGAAGGGCTGCATGGTGTACTGGTGAACGCGCTATCGCCCGTAGAAGGTAATAGCGTGCTCGAACCCCACCGCAGGCACCTGTGGTCCGAAGTTTTGCAAATATCTCAGCGTCTTTATGGTTGTATTTCACATGACACTCTACTATAAAAAATTGTGATAAACAGCAAATAAAAAGTTAACATCAATATATACTGTTAACATTTTTCTTTTTCAAACAAATGTGTCTTTTCTTGACAACCTTTCAGAATATTCGGAAGTGAGCTTATACCCTAAAAACTTTCAAGTAATCAATTTTTCTATCTTTGCTTTAGAAATGTTTCTAACTAGCATGACTGACCTTTAACGAATCGAAATAATGAAAATGTGTAGATTTTTAGATCATGAACACATGAAAATAGCGGTGAGGGAGGCATGTGATGGAGTGGAGTCGGGCGATGGTGGTCCCTTCGGAGCGGTTGTTGCCCGCGGCAGAAATGTCATCGCCACCGGACACAACATGGTATGCTCTTCTTTTTTCCGATCTTTGTCATCCGATTTTAATACACATGCCTTTTTACAACCGGACCGTTTACACCGTCATATTCGTCATAGTTATAATCGGTATTCATCACAGTAATGTTAAAACCTACGATAGATTGGAAGTTTTTGGAAGAGTTCCTTAGAATTTAAAGCCGATTCTGCTATTCTGACAGACCCTGAGTCAATCGGACTCTGGTCTGCAGAGAAGACGCGTCTTTATCAATAAGTGCAATCTTTTTTAAATGTAGAAAGCTTAACTCTAAAAAAAGACCCACAAACTAAGGTGAAATTTCACTTAAGAGACAACTTCTTTGGTTTCTCTTAAGGGTTTGTTTTTCAATGCAACGAGCCATGTCTTTCAGACTCTCCCGGATTTCCTGTCCTAGTATTCTTAGAAATAAACGAATCCTCTAAAATGCTTATTTTTCAGAACATCTTCCAACTAGAAGCGTCCATTTTTCCAACGTCTGTTGACTGTAGATGAAGCTTTATAAGCGCCTTGCTCCCTAATAGATGCGCCATGCATTCGACTCTATAGAGAATTGAAACAGCGATTGAATCCATTTATGTCCTAAACAGTGACTTGCGGTGGTTGGCCGATCATTAAATTAGTGTTGTTTTTCTGTCAGACATATGCTGTGCTAATTTGATGACTACGGTGGGTTGGAATACCTAGTTTACTTGGCACGGGAGAGAAACGTGTTCTCGTATGTACTAAACCTCATCACTGACGACAAATATGCGTGCTGCGTTTTGTCAGCAATGAACTGACGCGATCTTTTCCAATGTATGCCTCTTTGTTCGCGTAAAGTTTTAGCGTGAGCCGTGTACTGTGAAAGTGTGGAGGAAAAAAACTGTTTTGAAGTAACGTACGCTCACAATGGGTTGAATTGGCCTAGGAAAGCGAAAAGCGCTCCCTACCACGAAGTTGCATTGTCATAAATCTTCTAAAGTTTTTGTCTTACACACTTTATCATCCTTGATGGAAGACGAGAAGAACAAAGAGCATTAAAGAGCGCCATTTCAGGTTTTGGTGACGAACGATCCCACAATGCATGCGGAAGTGGTCGCTATCAGAAACGCCTGTAAGAAAATCGGTATATCCATGAATCATTTGACCAACTATTCACTCCACAGACAGCGATCGTGTCCATGTTGTTTCTTTGGTTGCAACAGTAAGATAGCGCGTACACTTTGGAAAATGCAACCAGATAGTTTTACTTGATTTCCGATAGAATTGTCTTGCAAAGAGCATCAGGATGAGAAGACGCAGATGGTGTCAGTTATAGACGACACTGGAGAATTTGTTTCGCTGCTTTCCAGTTTCGATAGTTATGGGCAATGGATCTATGGGTTAGAGTATGTCTTAGTGAATAAATATTGAACAAGAAGCGACAAGAGAAGCTTTATGATATTCTGGAATAAATGGAAACAAACATCTTTTACGCTTTGCCATTCAAATTGCTTCAAAGATTAATTATGCTTTGAAACAATTTTTGAGCAACGGAAGGAAACGCGCTGAAGCAGTGCAGCCTTAGGGAACTACTGCCTTCGCTTCATTCTGCTCTTTTCACCTTGATCCCAAGTCTTGTCATACTGAACCTCAAACAATTCTTAAATGTAACTTCAATGGTGCTGAGATATTTGCAAAACTCCGGACCGCAGGTGTATGCGGTGGAGAACGAGCGCGCTATTGTCCTTTCCGGGGAGTTGCGCGTTCACCACCACACCACACGGGTCCTTCGTTTCGCCTGTCTCTCAGCTAGTTCTATCGATCTTCTGCCATCAGCAATCACCCGTCAGCGGGATTGATCTGGGGGGCCCGAATCGGCAACAAACCCAGTTAAGCTGAGGCCGCTGTTATAATCACAATTTTTACTGATGGCAAAAGATCGATAGAACTAGCTGAGAGACAGGCGGAACGAAGGACCCGCGTGGTGTGGTGGTTGACGCGCTACTCCCCGGAAAGGACAATAGCGCGTTTGCTCCCCACCGCATACACCTGCGGTCCGGAGTTTTGCAAATATCTCAGCACCATTGAAGTTATATTTCACAATGTATGCTCTGCCGTTAAAAAGAGGAGGCAGTAAATAATAAGTTAAAATCCTTAAATGGTTGCGGTAGACTATTAAGAAGCGAAATAACTAGGAGAGTGAGTTTTAGAATTGCCCTTAAAAAATTCGTCGTTGGTCATCCTTATGTGTTTTATTCTCACTTTGGTTCCCTTAATTCGTTGCTTCAAGTGATTATCATTTAATAGATAGGCTGAATAATTGAAACCAATGAATAATTTTACAATGCATTTCCTCGTGTTTAAACTGAGTTCTTAACTCATTTTTTTATACGATTCGTCTTTCAAATCTACTACGCTGATCCCAGTACTTCTCGCATTTGATTTGCCTCCTTGTATCGATCATCCATTGAAGGTCTTTCAACTTTTACGTGAGAATGTCCAGTTCATCTTGGTTGTCGTAGAATGCTGGTCGAGTCGATTCTTTCTGCAGTTCTGAGTTAGGCAGGCCGGAGCGTTCCCACTTTCATTTCAGAGAGTGAGTCCTCCAAGACAAGGCCGCTTCCAATTTCCCGACCCGAGGGATGAGAGGCTTAGTAAGCCCACAGCGGGATCAAATCAGCACCGTGATCGTGATGATTGCCATCACTACCACTATGCCATCCGCTCCCTTTATTCATCACTTTTTCAAATATTCACTGTGCAGTTGAGAATATGTCATTTTTTATCCATTTTCTATTTGATAACCTTCGATTTCGTTACTGAGTAAAGATGGGTCCATGCTTAGGTAATTATGACCTGTCTGGTTATACCCTATATACTTCGTGCTACCCCTGTCCGATGTGTATGGGAGCCTGTCTGTGGGCCCGACTTAGTACCATCTATTACGGCGCTACGGCCGAACAGGTACGATTATTATACTTGTCATAGATTGTTATTTAGTTCGCTCCAGTAGTTGGTTTTGTTTTTTCAGTCTAGTTTTCATTAGTTTTTATTGGTTTTGCTCTTCTGTGGGTCTCTATTAGTTCTCTTATCAATGGTTCCGCTTTTTCTATGCATCAACAAACACCTTATTATGGGCGATAGCCCTTCGTTTAGGGTGCGTGTGGCGCAGTGCTCCCATGGTCCACCAAGCCTTCCATCCCCGGGGTCGGCAAATTGGTACCGGACTTATCTGGGAGGACAGCAGCACTGGTTTGATGCATCGGTAGGCCACGGCGAGTCATTGGAAGGGCCAGATATGCGCTTAATCACATCCAAACAGTGCTTAATGAAGTCGAGTGCATGGCGCATCCCTCAGAGATTGTTCAACGCCGAGAGCTTTATTCTTTTTTTTAACCCTTCGTTTTAAGAAATAAGAGAAGAAGGTCAAATCCTGAAACAAAATTAATACAGACCCAAAGTCTGGACCCCATATTTCACTTGCAAAAAAAGGCGGCACGCCCATTGAAGAAAGAGTAAACGACAGAGAAAGAGAAAGAGAAAGAGTAAACGACAGAGAAAGAGGAAGTGTGATTATACCTGGTAGTAAACAGTGTTTTTTCTTTGGAATAGAAGAAACGACCTATTAGCCAGTTTTTGACAATTTTCGGTATCACGTTTTTTGGGAATGGAAAGGTTGTCCAAAGGAGTACTCCAACAGTTTTGTTTAAGCTATTCATTAAATTTTCTGGATCACTAAGTAAAGCAACATTGTTGGCTTCTAAAATTTCTGGTATTTTATAGACCTTAGGATATTAACGAAAATATCCAAAATGAATATAGAGCTTCCGACTTTGATCAACTACTTAGTAAAATGCACCGTGCATTCCATTCAATTCGTAGCAACGTAAAAGCACCCGAGTACATTTGTCCTATACCGCCACATGCGGCCGATGTAGTAAATCAGTGTTTTATTGTTCAAAGAATGCCTGAGACCAATCCGCCGAGCACCGAGGGATGAGTGAACTGGTTGGCCGGCGTCGAACCTGCGCCTTAGGCACATTAAACAGCGTCACTCCTAATACCACACTCGCACCCACATAAAACAGAATATTGTACCCTATGTCAACCAAAGCATTTTTTTGATTTCTTTTTCCATAGTTGAACCTCACACTGCAGGCAAGCACGCTCGGCTTCGATGACAAACCATTCCACGATTTCCTCAAAAATCCGGGTTCCGATGAGAAACGGTGGGAAGTGTTCGCTTTTTTAAGAATAATTTTTACTGGCAAGAAGAGTTTTTGCAAGAATTAAAAGAAGCGTTTCGAAACTTAAGAGCTGTTAATTGGTTTCTTAACGTAACAGAACAAATTTAGGAAGCTGGAACACCTACCGGTCGGTAACTACTTGCAGCCGTTCGATTTGTGGGTGAAAAAGGGAGACACTGTCAGGCACTACTGACATTTCTTCAAACATGTTGTCATAAAGATTTTGCTGTTCACAACGCTTCATATTTCTTCGGCAGGCGATCGATAAATGTGTTTTGGGATGTAGGTGCCTAGCAGATGGAATATGTTCTGTAGTAAAATTATTCTTCGCTTGCCAATGTTACGAACTGGCGCCTCCGTCCAAATTAGATTTCACAAACCTTTCATCTTTATAAAGGATAAAAGGTAAAGCTCTCGGCGTCGATCAATCATCAATCCCTGAAAGATGCGTCATGCATTCGATTTCATTAAGCATCGTTTGGTGGTGATTGAATGCATAACTGCTCTTTGCAATGACTCACGGTGACCTACCGATGTATCGGGCCGGTGCTGCCATACTCCCAGCCGAGTCTGGTACTGACTTTCCGACCTCGGAGAGACGGAAGGCTTGGTGGGCCATGGGCACGTGGATCGATTCCACGTGTGTGTTGCAGGGTGCCTCCGATCACTGCGCCACATGCGTCATTTTCTTCACCTTTATAGTGCACTAAATGTGCAAAATTTGTAGAGTTTCTTGTGTTAAAATACCATGAAGATTTGTGGGAGACAACCACTGGGAAAGGTAGTTGGATTTTCGCGCTGTAGAAGACTATAATTCAAATGTAAAACACGCTATTCGCAACGCTGCTCCTACTGCTCTTTTAACACCATGGAATTTCACAGATAACTGATAGTTGATGATACAATTGATGTACTAAACCACATTTACATCTTGTTTTCACTGGTAGTCCAGAGCACAGCACATTTCCCAATACGCAAGACCGACTTTCCGTTAACCTCGGCACTGATTGATAATTCGATGTTTTTCATCAATAAGGAGATACGAGGTTGTTATTATAGAATTTACTAGGATATAACAGCTGACGTTTCGGCGGTTTCGTCTTCTTCAGAACCTGGAAAGGTCAAATTGAGATGTGATCTACTCAGCCAAACACTTTCATAACCCCAGCAGATGAAACTTAACAGATAAATTTGTGTTCGCATAAGAAACAGCTTCATTTAAACACCTACCGCTTATCTGTTGTAAGTATTTCAGTTAGTTGGCGGATAGCAGCCGCACAGATACATGAGCGAAGACTGTGCCTGTGTCAGGCCATTGAATCAGCCTGAGGTATGGCGCCAGGTCACGCGTGATGACAAGACACTCTTTGCGGTTCATTTTTAAAGTATTCGTCCCCGCACGCTTTACAAGAGATCAGATAGACTGTGCCCGAACTCATGCCAATCACCGTCTCTATCGTTAGGGCAAATTGCCGTTTTTCGTTGTACATAGATGGTTATATAGGTGATTGCGAACTAGCTGGCGTCTTAGAGTGTCCGATGGTATTTTTATCACTCTTAGGGAATTCTCTAGGCCGGCTCTTATTAAGCAACGTTTTATAGCTTCACATATCTCGTTTGAAATAAAGGGCAAGAGGAACGGAGCCTTGTTTTCTCTAGAGTTATCGCTCTGTGGCGTGGTTGTGCCTATGCCCTTTATGCCTATGCCGAGAAGCTATAGTTTCGTAACCATTTGAAATGGCTATTTGGCGCACCAGTTTCGCGATTTCTTCCCCCTCCCTGTGCACACGCTAACTCAAATCATTTGTCTATCTCCTCTTGTGTCAGATGAAAAAACAATCATCTATATACCTACAATATTGGCCTGAGATCGATTATTGGTTCTTCCACTTTAGACATAAAGGCAACGGCAAGGGTTGGTGCTAGTTGCTGTCCCATTGCCAACGCTCTAATTTGCGCGTAATATTTCCCAGGCCATCTGAAGATGGAGCAGTTTAAGCAGATCTTTAGAAGGACAATAAGCTGCTGAATCGAAAAGCCATACATATTAATTGCTCCTTCGTGTTTCTCAAGAAGTTCGCGGATGGCTTGCATTGCGGAGCCGTTCGGCACGTCAGTGTTAAGGGCAGTAGTGTCGAATGACTCCATAACGCACGAGCTTTTGGGACATGCGTTGCCCAAACGGTCTAGGAATATTTGGGTGTTCATGAGATGGGCTGGTATGTGCTTAAGCAACTGGTTGAGAGTTAGATTTATAAACCAAGGAATTCTATCCGTAGGTCCGTCTACGCAGCTGATGATAGGTCTAACTTTAAAGGTGGAGGGGTCGGTAGGCACCAGATCATCAGCGGATCTTAAGCTATTGGTTTTTATAAGTAGGTATAAGACGGAACTATGTCGGTACTTCGATCTTAAGATGCGAAATGTCTGCTGGTTTTAAACCTGCTGCGATTGACATTTTGATCCATTCGTTGTTCAGTTTTCGATTTTGATATCTGAATTCCTTTTCAGTAGATGCACAATAAAGTAAGAGACAGCACACCTGAGATATACGCTACCTTTGTGGGCAGCAGTTGAAAATGCACAATTCAAACGCTATCGTGTGGTACTTGATATTTGAAATTGTCAACTCCTCAGCGGAATTCAAACACCTGAAAGAACTACTGAGTGAAAAGCTGACCCACGAGTTTTCGACCTGCTAGTCAGTAGATGACTTCCCTGAGAGGCCTTAAAGTAGCTCAAGCGACTTTCCTTCAACATAGTTCGTCACTGACGTCGTTCCATTCTATCCCATTTTCACTTGACGTCGAAGGTGCAGATACGATGGGATCTCTGTAATCAAATAACGATTCACTGCCATTCATTTATCATTGAATCATGGACTTCTCATGAATTGAGATTTGTGCTAATTTCTATTCTTTTCTCTGTTTCGTTCGGCTCTTTCACCAGTATCCCTGTCTCAATGGTACTTTTCGAGAAGGTGAACATGTCGTGAGCAAAACTAGGGCTTGAAAGAATTTTTCCACCAATGCATATTTAATTGTCGTCGCAATCCAGTAGCTTCGCCAGTTACTCTGATGCGGCAGTGAATAGCCTTGGTGGGAAAGTGTCGCCTTGTGGGATCCCATTTTTCTGCACAGATGATGAGGGCTGATAAAAATGGCGTGTTTTGGTGATGGAGTAACGACAACAGCTAGGTAGATTTCCCATCTAGAGAGAACCCATTCTCTAGTCGGCGAACGCTGATAAGATTGTATTCGCTTCGACGCTGCTGAACGCTTTTTTGCCAACACTAAGTGCTAGGATAAACAGCAAGTGATATTCCCGACAAATCTTTATGACCCTATACACAGTTTGAATATGGTTCTATGCGGTAAAAACGCTAGTGGAATCCTGATTGTTCAAATGATTGCACTTCATCTAATTTTTCTGACGTGAGTTATAAGATTACCTGCAAGAAGATGTCTATCTCTCGGAAGTCGGCAAATTTGCGCCAAATTTTGATGAAAGAATAACAAACACTAACTTCAAACACTTCCACTATGCTATGATTGAAGTTGTATGTATGGCACCTCTTCAGGTGGTCGATATCGAATGCTTTATGCTCTCATCCTTTAACTAGTAAACTGCAGGATACCAATAGCGCAGTGGTAGTGCATCACGAGTACGGTACTGTTTCGACCTCGCTCTGGCTAATCAACCTTCTCATCCTTCCGGGGCTGAAGAACTGATACCAAACTTGTCAACGATCGATGACGGGACGCTCAAATCACGGTGTCATAAGATTCCAAGTATTTAGTTCGCAACTGTTGCTGAAGACTGGCTGCCTCGCTTCACACAACACTGCATTACTTTTACAGTAAAGAAGAACAAGACCGGGGACCTTTGAAAAACTGTTCATTATGTGGTCTAAATCTATTTAGATGTTTAGATGGAGTGTCTTCACATGCTTTTGAGAGTACTACCACTTCTTTNTGTTCATTATGTGGTCTAAATCTATTTAGATGTTTAGATGGAGTGTCTTCACATGCTTTTGAGAGTACTACCACTTCTTTCATTCGTCTTGTAGTCGGACAAGGTAAACGCATAGAGTTGATCGAATTTGTGCAAGTAATCGGCTGAAACTTGAGAATCTGTACATCTCTTTTCTCACTGACGTGCTAAAATCTGACCGACCTTGATTTTTCTGGCAATCTGAGTTATCCGCACTAGAGCTCTCAAGTTTTCATCAAAGGAAGTTGCCAGTCAATACAGATCGGAGAGAAGTTTGCTATCCTGCGATTCGGATTTTTCAAACGGTGTCAGCCATTGCTGTGACGATAGCTAATCCTGTGAGCAGCTGACCTTCTGAGGGTGATGTTAGAAGCCAAGCCCGAAGTCAAAGCTTCCTTAATGACGCTGAGATAAACTCCAGACCACAGGTATCTGCGGTGGGAAACGAACGCGCTATTGTCTTTTCCGGGGAGTAACGCGTTCACCACCACACCATGCGGTTCCTTCGTTTCGCCTGTCTCTCAGCTAGTTCTATCGATCTTTTGCCATCAGCAATCACCCGTCAGCGGGATTGATCTGGGAGCCCACATCGGCAACGAACCCGGTTAAACTGAGAAACTGTTATAATCACAATTTTAACTTATTATTCACAGCCTAATCTTTTTTACGTCACGGTATGCACTTCAAAATACAACTTGGCATTGGCATTCAGGTTTGATTTGACTGCATTCGAACGGTGCTACGCTGCCATTTCTCCATAATGCTGCGTGAGATTCTAGCGAGTTAATTGTTTGAGGAGAATTTAGGAATTTAGGGCTTTCTCGTATTTTTAATTTGGACTCGTTTAATCATTTGAATCGAACTGGGCAGACTTTTGGAAGTTACGTCTCACAGAGAGAAACTTTTACGGGTACGATATCCTTGTCTTTATCTTCAACTATTCGCTTTGTCGCACTAGTCGTGCAACTTGTATGTAGCCGGAATACGAAGCTCTGACCTTCGGAATCTGTCACATCTTCGAGATCCAGGAGAATATACATCGACAGCGAAACATAAATGGGCCGGTCACATAATGAGAAGAACAGACGACAGATGGACAAAAAGAACAGTGGAGTGGATTCCAAGAGAATGCAAACATCCCCTTGGACAACCACCTACACGTTGGGCGGACGTGTTCGCGAACAAAGTTAATCAGCTGTACCCGCAGGTGCAGTTGTTTTACAGATCACGGTATGAGACTCGCAAGCGCTACCATACTCGAACAAGACTACCACCATGGACTACGATTGCGAGAGAAAGGAACGAATGGCATATGTGCTGGGGTCCGCACAGCTCGTGAAGACGGACCGCGTCCAAGTATCCAAGTATCCAAGTACTCGTTTTGCCACCGTTCCATTCCGGAAGGGGACTATTCCAACGACTTTAGCAGCAGAGAAATGCACAAGAGAGCGACAACTATTAGAAAAATAAGAAATAGAGCTTTTTGTTTAGGCTTCTTAGTTTTAATCACATTGTTAGCCTTTTTTTCACCGCCTATTCTTTTTTAACGGCTAGGTATTGCGCGTTCGTTCCCCACCGCACACACCTGCGGTCCGGAGTTTTGCAAATATCTCAGCATTATAGAACTTCTTAGTTTTGCTAGAAATTTCAATTTTCGTCAAATTTTTTTATTTTTTTTAAAAATATTTTGGTTAAAATCTTTTTTATCGAAAAGTTTTCCACATAAACCAGTGGAGTCGGTTCTGTTTCCTTGGACTTCGATTTTTGAGTGAAAGAACTTAAATCTCATCATCAAAAGCCAAAATCTATTCTGAAGGGTTGTCGTTCTGGCGAGTGCGAATATATTGAAAGTCTCTTAGAAGAAGTTTAACTCGTCGGAAGCATTTTTTAAATTTTTGGCATAGAAAAACATCGCTATCCCAAAGAAATTATACACTCCCATGATCACTCTGAAAATGCTGCTAGTCATAAAAGTCCTAGAAATTCATAAATGGGTTGTTACCACTGCTCTTTGTTATTTGCCTTCAAGAGCTTCTGGAAGTGTTAAATTTTATGTTTATTCGGTACTGGAAAAATTTGTACATTTATTGTAGCCGAAAGTATGGTGGTCACAGAGCATCTTAGCAGATAGTGGTTACGGCAGCCACACGTCATACTATTGACGCTGCAGAAGTTGAACAAGCTGGGCTACGAAACCCTGCCTCATCCATCAAACTTGCCACACCTCTCTTTTGTCATTTACTCCTTTTTCAGACATTTCCACAGCTTTCATTGTGAGAAATGCTTTAGAAACCTAGTTATTGCCATAGGTTCACTAAACGTTTTCAACGCCTCCAGAAGTCCATAATTGTAGGCAACTTTATGAATAAACTTCCTTCTCGTTGACGAAAATGTGTAGATTTTAGCGGCTGTTGATCGATGAAGATGATTCTCAGCTGAAGACTTTAAAATTAAAAATTCAGGATGAAACACGCCATTGATTTCCGAACGATCCATTATATTAGATGGAACGGAGCAAAGTCACAAGTTCTTAAGAACCAATTCCCATCTAAGCTAAATATCGATAGTCAACGTATTCACTCCCACTAATGAACAAACTTAAAAAATTTGGAGAGTTGCAGAAAACAAAAAAGAGCTTCGAATTTTCGAATCTCCAGATAATCTAGTATCACTTGCTCAAGCGTGGATTCTCGTCTTGAGAAGAAATCACTATAAGTCGGCAATTCACTCGCGTCCCGAATGGTGATACAACTGGCCAAGCGAAAAATCGTCTTCATTGTAGGCCTGCGCTAATCTCGTGTCAGCGATTTGGAATTTTATCCTATTAATGGTATGAATAAAGCGCTCAGCTTTGATCAATCCTTGACGGTTGCGTCATTCATCCGAATTCATAAAACACCGCAGACCTGACTGAAGGCATATCTGGGCTGCACAATAGCTTCCGGTGGTCTAACGATTAATAAACTCGCGTGTTTTGTTCTCTCAAACAAAACGGGCTGCAATTTTCCCACCCAGAAGAGATAGGAGGCTCAGTCTTAGGGGAATTCTTGATGGTGCTAATGATTACTTTTATAATGAATGCCACCACCAAGGACTCCGCTGCTTGCGTTCCAAAGTATTTTACCAACATTGCTTTCAAATCTAGTAAAAAATAGGCCTCTATTACCTATATCACTTGTCGCCTCGTTGATCGTCGAGTGACTCGAGCGACCGCCAGTAGATCTTCCATTTTTCACTGTCGCGTACAAGAGTCTTCTATCTTCTCGCCCTAGGAAGTCGCTGAGCATCATGACTTTTTCCAGAGTTTTCGTGAAGCATTCTGACTATCGAGTCGGTGATCATTCTTTACGTCACTAGTGGCTCTTGTCAATCGGTTATTATTCATAGGCATTACGTGTCCGGCCCACCTCATCTTCGACTGTTTGGCGTAGAGAACAACATCTTTGATTTTTGACTGTTGACGCAAGTCAGTTGACTCTTCCTTCAATTATGTCGTACGGGGCACCACTAACATCGTCTTTTTGACTGAGTGAGTGGCTTTTCATCCTGCTTACGCAGCCACCAGGTTCAAAACGCATACGTTAAGGAGGCGTGTACCGTTGAGCCGAAAAAGGGGAACGGAGTCGGGTGTTTTTTGTTCTCTTCACTATTTTTGTAAAATTTAGGCAGAGGCCAATTTTTTCACAGGATTTGTCAAAGTCGGCAAGCATTCGCTTCCCATGGCTAATGTTTGATGTCATAAGAACGATTTCATCAGCAAGGCAAAGGTGATATAACTGACGACCATCGATTTCACTCCCATGATGTCTCATTCCAATGTTGGCATGACGTTCCCGAGGGTGGCGGTGAATAATTTTCGCGAAATGGTACCGCCTTGTCTAACTCCTCTTTTGGCGTCGATTTTAATATCGTTATATAATGGTGATATCTTTCTTGGCTATGAAATTTTTATACAGTTCACGAAGAATCATTATATAATGAGTAGGAACTCCCTAATTATCAAGGGCTTGCATGACTGCTTCCATCTCAATTAGCTTAAAAGCCTTCGTGAAATCGGTGAAGGTGAGGCAGAGCGGCCTTTTGCACTCTCGCGATACTTCAATGAGCCTTATTATCGTGTGGATGTGGTCCATTGTACTAAATCCTTTTCGAAGCCCTGCTTGTTCACATGGCTATCCTTTGCCTAGTGTTCTGTCAATCCTGTTTAGAATAACTCGAGCGAAAAGTTTGTAGACGACAAGTAAGCAGATTGGGCGATAGTTGCCTATATCGTGCAGGTCACCCTTCTTGAACAATAACACGGTCCTGCTGGTCTTCCTCTCAGTAGGGACCTCGCATTCGGACAGGTAACGTGTGAAGAGCTGAGTCAGTGTGTTTACGTGGACCGGAGGAAATTCCTTCAGGTGTTCTGGTTTTATATTGTCCCAGCCCGGTGCTGTTCGATTTTTCACCGACGAAATGGCATGTCGGATTTCTGAAGAGAGTACCAGTGGTACAACATATTCGTCCTCCTTTATTTCATATGACGGAAGGTGAACGTGGCAATCGAAGAGATCTGAGTAGTATTCGTGAGTGATTTTCTCCGTTGCCTTTCTGCACGCTGAAACTGTTCCGTGTGCGCGTCGGAATGCAATCATCATCATCATGTAATTGGTAAAGCTTCTGTAGTCTTTGCAAATGCTTTTCCCAGCCTCAGTAGCTTCGACCATAACTGCTTCTCTTCTCTCTTTGAGATTTACTTTTATCGCTTGTCTGTATTGCTTTGTAAGTCCGAACGTTAGTAGGCGGTACCTGCTGCTAATGTGATTCCACGCTGGCATATCAGCTCGAGAGTTTCTAGAAAGAGACGTCTATTGGCGACTCTCGAACTCTCAGTTTTCATAGCGCTAACGCGAAGATGATGGACGAGTCGATCGTATTCTTCGTCGACGTATTGTCGAGAACGGTGTCTTCTCAATAGCCGACTAGTGAACTGAATAAGTCCCATTTTACGGTGGTTTTGGAATTTCATTTTGTGATGGCTTTTCCCCTTTCCGCAAAAAGTGAAATCTTGCACGAAGGAGTAGTAGGTCTGAAACCGTGTGATAAATTTTGGGACAACAGTGTAATCGACTTGGTAAAACCTTCAATTTGCTATGATGTGATCTATTTCGCTAAGGCGCTATTCATGGGGGACTTCCACGTGCAGCTTGGGAACAGTGGGGTTGGGTGGAATTGCGAGTTACAACGAATGGTCTTGGCCGTTATGATAAACTCAAACAGCCGCTCGCCCTACTCGCTCCTTTCTAATCCGTGAGCCCCAATGTGACGTCCTTCACACGTTCTTCATGGTCCAATCTTTGTGTTAAAACCTCCAAAAATGATTTTGAAGAATTTGTCCATATAGACGCTTCGGCTTCGTCTTCTATAGGCAGATATTTCTATCTAGACGCCGAAAACTGTCGAAGCTGGTATTGATCCACGTCTCTTCGGTTGTAAATGTCCGAATCGTGTAGTCGGTTATTTGAATGAAACCATGTTCATAGAAAAACTCGTGCTGAAGAAAAGGCTGAGGCTACCAATTGTCGCCTGTTCCGAGGAACAATTCTTTTCAGGTGTCATAGACGGCGTTAAATGGGTAGCGCCGTCTCGTCTCGGCTGGTCCGGTGGCGTCGTACCTTATCCTTCTTGCTAGCATGTTCAACTCTTCAATCGAGGACTCAGGTACAAGTGTGCGTTCACTGTGGGTACAGATCGCCACCTTAGTTCTTCGTGATCCAGGCAGCTTCCATTGGCCCTGAAATTTTAGCAGCCTCTCCGTACTCGTCCTACCCAACGCTGTCGAATCGGGAGCTGTGTCGGGGTTAGGAGAATAAGACCCGCTTCTTTTACTGTGTTTAGCGTTTTGATACCCATGCATAGTTTGTTGAACTATGTACGTGGGGGCTTGGTGTAAACACTGGTAGTTTGATAGACTCTCTCACAAAGGACATGGAGCTTCTTTGCCTGATGCGACCGCTAACCGCCTCCCATGTACTTCCCTATCACTTGATTTCCTGCTTTCGGTCGAATTGACTGGTAGAATATAATCCGCATAGACCAGAACACATCCTCGCACGCATGCATGAGTATGCCTCGTAAATACAGAAAATATGTGTCAAATCGGCGCAACAGAAACAAGAGTCCATCCCCTGGATCCACCTTCGTCTCAAGTAAGCAAAGGTCTCTTTTGGTCAGCGATTAACCCCTTATCTATAATCTGGGGAGGTGCCACGTAGCTTCGTGACTAACCAGCTCAGCATTTCTTATATGAGGGAAATAGTGTGCTGACACTATCGCTACGGTGCCTAATCCCTGGTTTGTTGCAGACTGGACGACGCACAATTTTGAGACTTTAAGGACCTACTGATTGTCTGGTAAAAAACAATAATTTCTCGATGACAACAGCACTTTCTGGGCTGTAGACATTTTGTTACAATTGTAGGAAAGACTTTTCTCAATCTCTCTAAAGGTGTGAATGAAATTTGTGATGCTACTTAATATATGTTACTATAAGTCCATCATCCCAGCATATTGCTTTTAGCATTTGGAAGTGTTTTGCAACTTACGGGACTCAGTATTACTTATACGCACACACTTTGTACGATAAATATTCACTATAGCAATTAGAACTGAAATAGTAGTCGATTAGCATCCAAATTTCTTGTTAGTGAACTCGTTCAGAAAACGGTTGTTTCCTACACACAGAACAGAGCTTCCCCCGACCAACACCAAATAGAAAATCTGTGTTCTACAAATTACCAACCTAAAACAAAAAGTGCAAGAAGATAGATAATGCAGATAGTTATATGTGTTAAAATACGCTACAGGAAGGAAAATCATGCCTATAGGTGTCCTGCAGAGCACCCCTGGAAAGCGATTATGACACCTACAAAAGTAGCTCTTTATCTTATGAAATGCCAGCGGAAAGAAAATGAGACCTATAGGTGTCCAACCTGCCACTTCCGCAAAATCACTGATACACCTATAGGTATCACTGGCCGCGAGAATTTTAATGATAGTTAACAATATGTTCTGCAGAGGTTCTGGTCTGAACCCAGATGGGATGGATTTATACAGCTTTTATTGACGACAATTATGTCGGAATTCGGAAAAGGAATCGTTAAGATAACATATGCATTCTCCTTGGTAGATGTTGAAGTGGTCAATAAAAGACTTTGATGTTTTTTTCCACTTCCTTTCTGGAAGCCTTATTTGTTTCGCTAGGACTTCGAAGCGAGAATAGCATCAGATTAATAGACGACGATGCTTCGTTGGCCGTTGTGAATGCTTTTCTCCACCACTTCAGCTGTAGCCATTACTGCTGCTCCTTAAGATCTTCTTTTGTCGTCTTTCCACAGAAGCTTAAAAGTTCGGGTGTGATTTGGTGATTGCACTCCGGTGTTCCTGCAAAGAGTCGTCTCTTCGCGACTTTTGATCCATTGGTCTTGTTTGCACTTGCTTGAAACTGTTGAATAATACGATCGCGTTCCTGGTCGATATCGTGGATACTGAGATTATGCTAAAAACCTGCTAAATATAAGAATAGACTAAGATTTATGATGAGATAATGATGTTTATTCCTGAGCTTTCGGATTTCTATTTGCAGAAATGGAGAAATATTGTGAAGAGAAGATGGACCGATCTCGTGAAAAATTTTGGGAGACAGAAGCATCTTTTATGCAAAATCTTTAACTTGCGTGATATTGTGTTTCAGAATTTTCCACTGTGAATACCTCGCACTCACCGTGGTTAAAGGTTTTAGGATTATGAGTTACTATTGATGACCTGGGGGCGGATGGCACAGTGGTGCCCGTCACCGCGGTCATAGTGAGAGTTCGTGACCGCTACGGACCAACCAAGCCTCTCATCCCTCCGGGCTTGAGAAATTGGCACCGGCCTTGTCTGGAAAAAAAATCACTTCCTGCAATCCAATTGGGGATGCTCCAATCCTGCTATCTCAGGACTATAGGAAGAATCGCTCGACCAGCATTCTACGACATTCAAGATGAAATGAAAATCCTCAATCCGTAACCGAGGCCACACATTAGAGTTGGAATATCTTATTGGACAACGGATGCCAGAAAACGAATCGAGTGTGGGAAGTGCTGAGATCCACACAGTAGACATGAAGAAGGGTCAAATAAAGTGAAAAAAATGAAATAAAAAATTGATGATTGATCATTGTAAACTCGGACAGCCCATCGCTCCGTTCATTCCGTTCTAATCCGTAGTTCACAATGGTATGTTCTTCAGACGTGTTTCCGTGCGCAATTGGCGTCACCGATAACGGCCTGATGAAAGGTTTAATCTTCTACATTGGGTTTTTTCATGTCCCTCTTGAACTCTTTCTTTAGCTACGTTTTTGCTATGGCTTAATTGAAGAGCTGATATGAGGACCAAGTCGGGGTTCACCTGTACCTGTATCACCTGTACTCCCGTTGATCGTCGAGTGACTCGAGCAGGCGCCAGCAAATCTTCCATTTTTCCCTGCAGCGTGCAAGAGTATCCCAGTGGGTTCTGCTCCCCCTAGGGACTCGTCGAGCATCATATCTATCAGCGGGATACTCCTAACATCGTCCTTTCGACTGCGCGTTCGATAACGCTGAGTGACCTTTCATCCCGCTAACGCAGCGACCAGGTTTTTGACGCATCAGTAAGGGCAGGAAGTACTGTTGAGCCGAAAAGGTGGGCACGGAGTCGGTTGTTCTTTGTTCTGTTCACTACATCCTCGATGCTCTTCAAAGCTCCTCAAGCCGCTCTTTTCCTTCAGCTCAACTCTGGAGCTAAGTCGTTCAACTTATTGATTTCCCCACCTAGATAGACATAAGTGGAGCATTCGGAGATGTTCGTTCTGTTGGGCGCGAATGTGGCATAGAAAACTAGTCCGTTCTTCATAAACATCGTTTTTGTGAGATTTAGTCGGAGACCAATCCTTCCACAGCCTTTATCAAAGTCGGCAAGCGTTCGTTCCGCTGGCTAATGTTTAGTGTGATAAGGACGATGTCATCAGCAAAGCGAAGATGATTTAACGGCCGAGCATCGATTTTTACTCCCATATTATCCCATTCCAATGTTCGCACCACGTTTTGGAGGGTGGAAGTAAATAATTTTGGCGAGATGGTATCGCCTTGCCTAACTCCTCTTTTAACGTCGATGTTAACATCGTTGTAGAATGGTGATATGGTGGTTACATTTTTGTTCAGCTCACGAAGACTCTTTATGTACTGAGTAAGGACTCCTTGACTATCAAGGACTTCCAAGACTTCTTCTATCTCAGCTGAATCAAAGGCTTTCTGTAAATCGATGAAAGTGAGACAGAGCGGTCTTTTGTACTCTCGCCATACTTCAAAGGGCATTGTGGATGTGGACCATCGTACTAAATCATTTTCGAAACTCTGCTTGCTAACATGGCTGTCGTTCGTCCAGTGTTCTGTCAATCTTGTTCAGGATGACTCGAGTGATGCGTTTGTAGACGACAGACGGCAAGCAGATTGGGCGATAGATGCCTATATCGTGCAGGTCACCCTTCTTGAACAATAACACGTCTTACTGGTCTTTCACTGAGTAGGGACCTTGCATTCAGACAGATAATGTGTGAAGAGCTGAGCCAGTGTGTTTACGAGGAGTGGCGGAAGGTTCTTCAGGTGTTCTGGTCTTATACTGTCCAGACCTGGTGCTGTTCGATTTTTCACCGGCGAAATGGCATGCCGGATTTCGGAAGGGAGAACCGGTGGTACAACATATCCATCCACCTTTATTTCATATAACAAAAGGTGGACGTGGTTATCGAAAAGATCCGAGTAGTATTCGTGAATGATTTTCTCCATTGCCTTTCTGGACGCTATAACTGTTCCGTCTGGGCGCCGGAATGCAATCATTTTGGTCTTGTAATTGGCGAGGCGTCGGTGGGCTTTGCGTACGCTTTTTCTAGTCCCTGCAGCTTCGACCATTACTGCTGCTATTCTCTCTTCATGATCTTCTTTTATCGCCTGTCTTCGTTGTTTTGCAAATTCGGACGTTAGATCGCGGTTGGGTGCAGCTCTTGCGATTCCATGCTGGTCTATCAGCTCGAGTATTTCAGGTGTTGACGTCTCTTGATGACTTTCGAACTCTCAGCTTTCATAGCGCTAACATGAAGATGTTGAATGAGCCGATCGTATTCTTCGTCGATGTTATCGACAACGGCATCTTTCCAACAGCTGACTGATGAATTGAATAAGTCCCAGTTTGCGGTGGTTCTGGGACTTCGAGTTTGGAATTTAGTTGCTTTTCCTCCTTTCTGCGAGAAATAGATTCTTGCACGAAGGAGTCGATGGTCTGATCCAGCGTAGAATTTTGGCACAATAGCGACATCGGTTAGGCAAAACCTACTTGCTCTGATGTAATCTATTTCGTTATGGAACTCTCCATTGAGGGGCTCCCACGTCTAGCGCTGAGGGTGGGGCTTCTGGAATTGCGAGTTACTTTGGATTGTCTTGGTCGCCATGATAAACTCAGACAGCCGCTCACCCTGTTCGTTCCATTCTAATTCGTGAGTCCCAAAGTGAAGTTCTTCAGACGTCTAAGCAGCTTCCAATGGCTTTGAGATTTTAGCACCCTCTGCGTACTTATCCTACCCAACGCTGCGGAATTAGGGACTATTTCGGGGCCAGGTGAATGGGGCCCGTTCTTTTCTTTTATTGTGTTCAGCATTTTTGACACCCACGCATAGCTAGCTGGGCCCTGAACGTGGGGCTGGGTATACCCACGCGTAGCTTGCCAGGCTGTCCCAGAGTTGGCATGGAACTTGTTTGTTGGAGGCGACTCCCAACCGCCTCCCATATACTTCCCTGTCACTTGATTGCAGGCTTTTGGCCGAATTGACTCGTGGAATGCAATCCGCATAAGCAAGAACGCACCCACACACGCATGCATGAATACACCTAGCAAATAGAGAAAGTATGTGCCAAATCAGCGCAGCAGAAACAGGGAGTACATCCCGTGGATCCACTTGCGTCTCAGGAAAGCAGAGGTCGCTCTTTTGGTCCGCGATTAACCCTCTATCCGCTACCTGGAGTCGCGCCACGTAGCCTCGCGACTAACCGCCTCGAGATCCCTCATATGAGGGAGATCCGTGGGAGTCAGGGTTACTGACGGAAATCCTGGAAAGAAGATATCATGCTGAACGAGTTTCTAGAGTGAGGAAAATCCACTGTATTACTCTTCCAGGTGAAATAGGTCTAATGTTGCCTCTGGAATCACTCGCCGATCAATGAGAAACTGTACACAAATTATCTCTGATGATTATGTAACACTGCGAAGTAGCATGCAGCCGTTTCGAAACATTGCAGCTCAGCTTGCTGTTGTCAAGAAGAACCTGGAAATGAAAAATCGATTCAATTATATATAGCTATAGTGCTTATATTTTACGTAAGACTCTGCCGTAAAAAAAAATAATGAGCGGTAGATAAAGTTGTACATTGTGATCGGGACTCAGTTATGTTATGTAGCCCAATGAAAAGTATCCTTGAGCCACTTCACTAGGCAATATTTGAATGACCCGTTTCCATATCTCCAACGGGCCTCGCTACTTCCTCCGTCTCTTTTGGCTTTCCCGCTGGCGTGATCTACAAAAATGATGTGTTCGTGTGGTCGGTCGCAGCGGTAAGACTCGTCTTCTGTCTTCATCGACGTGCTGAATGATGGTTGGGTGCAGCTTCCTGTGACAAAGCCAGAGGCAGACATAAGAGGGTTTCCATGTTTTGACATCAGGCACTTTCCTTTCTTGTACATCAGGTCGGCGATTGCTAGCTGGTTATTGTCTTCCGTAATGCTATTCTCGTGGCGGTAACGACAGCTACGACTACTCAACCTACTGAGGCGACGTGCCAACCCGAATGCGAAAAAACTAAAATAGACAAGTGGAACAAAGATACGAAGCAGAATCCCATCGGCTTAGCTCAAATGGCTAGCTTTTTCTTTCAATTTCGGTTGCGTGAATTATGCGATTTCGTAGGGTCAAGGCAAACGAGTGCCGCCTTGGGAACGAGATTTCTTCGTTCTTCTTTGATATTGGACATGTGGATTTTTGGTGTATAGAATTTCAGTAACTAATGGAAAGCTAAAATAGATTCTTTTGGAAGAATTGGAGATCAGCAGTGCTTTTACTATATTTGCCACATTCATTAGACCTTCTTATGAGAAACATGTTCAAAAATTAATTTTCTTGCTCCTCAGTTAGTGGTCGTTGTTTTAACACATAGTGCCCGACAGCATTTGAGGGCAATGCATTTGATACAAAACGATGGTTGTCTCCTCTAAATTCAACAAGTCAGCTCGTACTAAATTTTATCGTTCAAAGTAAAAACATTTGAAATCTATTGGTCTTTGCCTATAGGTTGCAACGTCTCACATTCTACCAAAACGAAGTTTTGGTGAGCAGAGATCGATAGAACTAGCTGAGAGACATGCGAAACGCAGGACCTGCATGATGTGGTGGTGAACGCATTACACTCCGGAAAGAGCAATAGCGCGTTCGTTCCCCACCGCAGAAACCTGCGGTCCGGAGTTTTGCAAACATCTCAGAATCATCAAAATATTTATTATCCATACCTAGCTCCAATAAAACTCCGACTTGAATGTGTATAGCTGTTCATGTAATTAGAAATGAATTCGCAACTTGTGGTTATTCGTTCATAATGTTGGACTACATATAACGATATATGAGGAAGCATTAGAACTTCATTAGATGTATGAGAGGTTGATTAAAGGTAGCTATAATTCTGCTAGGAAAACGAGAATGACGGAGCACTGCAGACGGCTTGTGAAACATCTGGTTTGAATATCATCAAGGGATGAAGGAGAAATTGTTCAGAATTGACTAATACCTAAGGGGTGCGCCATATATTTCACCCAATTCGTGTCATCATGGAAATCATCGAATGCAGATTAGGCCAATACAAGAACTCTTTTGGCAGGCTGATTTATAAAGGCAGTGTTTTTATTGCCTTGGGCAAGTCTGGTACCAACATACCAGCTTTCAAAGGACTGAGGACTTGGTTTGGCTGGGACGCGTGGTCCAACAAATAACCTATATGTACACATGCGTGTATAGCACACACACGCGCGTACATGAGAATAACACGCATACGCACCCACATATATATACATGTGTGCGGCCTTATATGTGTAAACAGTCAGCCAACCAAGGTATGCCTAACCACTACGCTACATAGGTTTTTTTTAAATACTATTCATTTATACATCCTCGTGATGGTCGTTTCCTATTTCAGCGACTCTGTTGTGCAACCTAATGGCAAAAGTCAGAAACCTCTTCCGTTCATCAATCAATGAGTGCGTTCAAAAATCTAATGCATATTGTCGAATGCATACTGAGTGTTTGAATACTTTACCGAATTGATAACTTTCTTGGTAATAAAGAATAAAGCTCTCGGCGTTGATTAATCCCTTAGGGATGCGCCGTGCATTCGGCTTCATTGAGT